CGAACCCCGCCCGGACCGCCGGCCCGATGGTCAGACTTCTTCACGAAAGCTCTGAACGAAAGGAATGAAGGACATCGTGTCCCTCGAGCGAGAGGGTCCACTGGACAACTCTTGCACGCGACAGGGACGAATGGAGACGTTGCTGGCGCCCGCTCGAGCACAGGTGAGGTGATGGAAACCTAAGCCTGAAGTCTTTGAGGATTAGCATTGCAGTTTAAGTCAGCACCAGTCGGCCATGGTGCCCTTGCGCCACTTGAGGGGTCATGGGAGTTTACCGAAACTTCGAGAAACGGGTATGCCGACCGTCCATGTAAAACCGGCAAGGTTGACAGAATCCACGACGCATCCTCCCAAATCCTTCGGCTAGAGTAGTCTTAACTTTTGTTTTAATTTTAGTGTTTTGCGGGAGACACCTTCACCAGTGAAGGCTTTGATACCATCAACTTAAGGGGCGTTCGTGAAGCCGCTAAGCCTGTGCAAATACATAAAACTAGACGTGGAAACTTGGAAAGAGACTGTGATACGTCGCGTCAACACCAAGAAGTACCAATGAATGGAGCTTCTCTTGCGCCACTTTGAACTGACAATGACATCGATAGTAGAAAGGGAGGTAATCGCTGCAACCACGCTGCAGTTGTTTCAAAATCGGCCAATTTGTGACTGAGACAGGGGACATCCAGCAAAATCGAATACAGGTGGGATATGCTAAGCGTAAAACCCTCCATTCATCTCCGTAATTCTTCAAATATTTGAATATTTATTTGAACCAGTCTGCAAATTCCTCATCACTGACTGATTATCTGCCCGGCGGGTGCAATTTAGTGCTGGCCACAGTTGCGTCACACTGCGAAATGACCAGCCATTATGTTGCATCCTACGGCAGGCAGGTGCCACCAGCGTGATGGGCTGGTTAGACGACTTCTCATCGAAAATGATCATGTTAGACTTTTTACAAATGCGCGCAAGATTATTGCACAGCGCTAAGTATGTATAGCTTCCGATTAATGCAGCTGGCGTGATAATGAAGGCGTTGCAGAGTGATTTTCAGCAAACTGCGCACAAAAAATTGACAAAAGTCAAATGACGTGCAATGTGATTTTAATGGATGCAGCTTAAAAAATACTCTACAGTACAGGCTAGAGTTTCTTTTGATCACATAATGATCAACAGGCTCCGTAGTATCTGTAGGCACGCTGGTACGGCGCAAGCGCCATTTCGCATAAATTGCCGCCACATGGCGCTGGTGCCTTTTTTTGCCTCCAGTTCGCTATAAACTTATGGACAGCGGTAACTGGCGGTCCCAAGCATAGAAATGGCATCCGTTTTTGCGCAGTGCCAATGGCGCCAGTGGCGCCAGCGCGGCGCCAGGCCAGGAGATGGAAGTTATTTTGTGCTTAGGCAGGGTCAACCGTCACGTTCGAACATTTTCAGGGTTTTTGCGACCCCCTTTTCTCAAGGGGGTCACCCCCTTATCTCAAGGGGGTCCAGTTGCGACCCCCTCTTAGGTAATGGAAGTGCCGAATGTGCTGACTAAATGTTAAGTGAAATATTTATTTCACTCATTTTACTTCAAAGACAGTGAACTAAAACCTTTTAAAGACAATGAACTTCCATGACATAGAACAAAACATTTGAATATTGAATTCTTCACTGGCATTTGAATTGAATTCTTTTCAAAAAATCATTGAATTTTTTTCAAAAATTCAATGATTTTTTGAAAAAAATTCAATTCAAATGTTCAGTAAAGAATTCAATATTCAAATGTTGTGTTCGTAAGTTCGTAAGTTCATTGTTTTCAAATGGACAATGAACTTCCATGAAATATGAACAGAACATTTGAATATTGAGATCTTCACTGAAATTTGAATTGAATTGTTTTCAAAAAATCATTGAATTTCTGAAAAAAATTCAATATTTTTTTCATGTTGCCCAAAACTTCAAACTTCATGCTTCCGAAAGAATCACAAGAGCAGTTCAAGGGAGTAAATCAAAGAGAGTTACGTTCTCCATCAATGCATCTCCTAAGATGAGCCCCAAAGGAGCAAGAATCACAGGGCACTGGCTAATGAAAGCTATTTTTTATGGTTAGCCTCGCGAGATCAAAATTTTTGTTCGCTCACAATCACGCCAAAATGAGGATGAAAGCGAAATGTGTAAGACCAAATGGAGGGATATCCAACAAGTAACATGAAGACTGACGAACTTCTGCTCAAACAGCTGAAAAAAGAGGAAGGATTAAAGAAGAGTAGGACTGACATGATTGCGTCAGAAACCGCCGCAGAAAGCGTTTGCGTTGCGGCGTCAACCTTGGAGCGCGGCAGGTATCACCCGGACGCTGGAAAACTGGGACGCGGCGAAGAAAAAGTTTTAGGAGAGTGTAACTTTCTTGAGACGTATTTGTTTCACTTATTGAGGTAGGTTTAAACTGTGCCTGAGGTGGCTTTACAGAAAATTGCAAGGATGACCTAACTCCCAAAAGTATTTCTGTCAGAAGCGGAAAACCCAAAATTCTGAGAAGGCGCACCTCCAACTTTGAGAGCTCATAAAATCTTTCGTATGCGACATCTTGGAAATTTGTGAAAAGTTTTAGAAACTTCAAATATTTCTCTAACAAAAGATTATAAAAAGTTAAGTGATTGTCCCCTTTTTCAAAAATTTGCCCCGTTCGAACAGTTCCCGTGCAAAACCGAGTTTTTAAGCTTTCAGCGACTATAACTCACTTCATTTTGATTGCTGTGTTTCCCTCTTTCCATGGGGTGAAAGAGCAGGTTTTGCTCTTTCTAACAAGCCCTAAACCATTTTTCAAAGTTCATTTTTCGAGAAAATCCCACGTTCGAACATTTGGATCCCATAGGTTTTTGAGCAGCACATGCGAGGTTTCGAGCTTTCAGCAATAATAACTTCCTTCAAAGAGCATGTTGGAAAGAGGCGAAGACATTTTTGAAGACCGCGAGGTTTCTTCTTTCTTATGTGTTTCACCGTTGTCTGGAAGAATCGTCCTCAGAAAATTAGGTCCCGAAGAACTTTAATTTCAGCCCCGAGAAGTCAAACCTTTCATAGGGATGCATTCAACTGTTCTTTATTCCTCAAGGAAAACACCGTAATTTGCCTAAAACTGTCTCTCTGTGCATAATAATCGAATCTAATGCGGTCTGCACAAACAATTCTTGCCCTCGGATACGCCACGCACGCGCCTGTGGCTGGCAGTCCTCGAAATTGCGACCCCCTTCCGACCAAAATGCGACCCCTTCGTTCGAACAGTTCGAACGGACGGTTGACCCTGCTGTAGGCTAGTTTTTGCTTTCGAGTATAGTGTAAGTGCAAGAAAGCTACAATGCGTCTCCTAATGATACAGCCTTTCAAGCCAACCTGAGGAGCATCCGCTTTTGGTCTGTTATGTCTTGTTTTCCGTCTGCAATTCTTTTAACGCTTTTCGCTTCATATGGATCTATCTTGAAGAAAAGGTTTCACTAGCAAGGAAAAACTCGAAGGAAAAGCAGATAGGAAGTAAAATTTAACAGGAAAAAAGCGATCTTACCCCGGTTGGCTTGGCTACTCTTTCCTCCCGAAAATGTCTAGGTTTTCGCTACGGTTTCTTTTCAAAAAAAACTGCCATTTTCACTTTCCGCTGAGAGCGAACTTGGAAGTTCTTCACTACTTACCAAGCACTATCCAGTAGGAGATTAAGTTCGAAAGAAGACTCTAATTCCGAGCACGGCTTGATGAAATTGGGTGTTATTTTCATAATTCCGCATTAATCTTGATCAAAAAGCAAAGAGGAGCTTTCAGAGCCCTTTTCAGCTTTATTTCCTACGGCATGCAAGAAAAATTGTTTGTCATTTTGCAGCTTCGACTAACTTCCCGCGCAATGTGACCATTGGCGCTTTCTCTTTTTTGCGACATTTGCCCTTTTTCGAGATCCAACAATTGCTTTCTTTTCGTGATAACCTAGAAAAGAAAAATTGATGGCTGCCATTTAGTTTCATCAAGCAAGAATCAACGAAAAACACGGGGTGGCTGTATCATTTGGAGACATGGTAAAATTGACATGGGAAAAAATAATTCTTACTTTTCAGCTTCAAACCCCCATCCCATCACCGACTATCGAAGCAACATCGCAGGTGAACGAAAACGAGTACTGCCGGCTCCGCAGCTGCCAGCACATTCCGACGCCAATTTCCTTGAGCCGGATATGAAGGTCAGGTGCTAAACAAAGCTGATGAATTCCATATCCTCCATCCACGTTTGAACTTTTTAACAGCTTTAGCTAATATGTTTAACGGCTTTCTTCCAAGTAGATTTTCAAGTACAGAAGAACTAATTGGAGCTATTGCTCAGTTGTCAATTTTTTTCAGTGGTAAAAAATCGAGAAAAATGTCTCATTGGCTGACTTGACTAGTGAAACGATACCTGTTCTATCATATTATTTCACTCAATGTTTTGGAAGATTTATATTTCTTGTGATAAAACTTCTTAAACATTTTAGGCTATCAGGTTTCAACATTGAAATGTTTGAAGCAAAGTGTGGCTTTTTTTTCAATGTCGTGTTTTCAGTGTCCCAAAATCGAGAAGGATGTCTCATTGGCTGACTTGAACAGCGACACGATATCTCGCCCTAATCATATTAACTTCGATATGATTGGACTCGGCGTAATACATTCGTTTAGGCTATCAGGTTTCAACATTGAAATGTTTGAAGCAAAGTGTGGCTTTTTTTTCAATGTCGTGTTTTCAGTGTCCCAAAATCGAGAAGGATGTCTCATTGGCTGACTTGAACAGCGACACGATATCTCGCCCTAATCATATTAACTTCGATATGATTGGACTCGGTAACACCAACATACCGTTGTCGACGCCGACGAACATCACCTACACCACAGGAACCACTCCCTATACCACAGCTGGGACATATAGTGCTGGTTTTCCTGGATGTAAGTCTTTACAGTCATTCTTATCCTCATTAAATATGGGACAAACCGAGGGTTCTTGTCTGACTGCCAGATTTTCGTGGACATGCTCATCTGTTACCTAGACTCGGAGAAGTAGACAGAGCAAGATGAGTTCGGATGGACAGACACGGTAGTGGGCTGTAGTGAAGACAGAGCTGAACCAAAACCTTGCACTAGTGGTCTAGGCTGACCAACTAGGTGGGGAGTGGGCTAAAATATCTACACGCCTAAGGATAACATTTTGATTCTGTGGGATCTCCCATGGGCAGGCATTGGCTCGCAGTGAACTTAAAGGCAGTGATTACGATAGATTCAAGAAGGGTTTATCGGAGACTGGTGGTGCTCATTGGTACGCCGGTAGCGAAAAAAGCAAGAAATTTCGTCAAGAAAACGTGACCCCCTTTTCTGGCCGTTGGTTCACTCATGAACAGGTAACAGCTCAGAAAGTGGACGTATGAACGAGTTCACCGCAATGCGACACCATGCCAAACAACGCTTTAATCGAGATGCTCCATTTGCGCCGCTGCTGGCCACGCAGCTCGTCCAAATCAACAAGTAAACTAGTGGGCGGATCGCTTTTGGGGGCGGAGCGCTTTCGAAGTCCTGCTCAGCAACCAGCGCACCTTTCGTTGTGAAAGCGCCACATCTCGCTTCCCTGGCAGCCAAGTAACTGATTCGTGTGGTGCACATGCTTCCCGATGCGCTCCCTCTTTATCGTAATCGCTGCCTTTAAGTTCATTCCCAACTTAACTTTACCTTCATTAGAGAACAGTAACCATTATGATCCAAGCTGTTCTGCATGCAATTCCTGATTTCTTCTTTCGATTTCACCCATGCCGAAAAATTTTGATCTAACGGAGTATAGGTGACCAATAATCAAAGATAGTCAGATCGCTGATATCTAGACTGAAGCTAGCAAAATGCGAAATTACTGAAAGCAGTAGATGCAAAGAGGGTGTGGGCCGGTGAGGCTGTTGTGCGCTCTTCGGTTTATCGTGGCGAAGAAAGGGCACCTCCCAGGTAGAACGACTAACGGCCTCAGGAACTTTGCACACAGACTCAGGGTTGTCAGTTTTCTAAGAGAGGACATTACGTTCCTAATTCCTATGGTAATGGTGGTTAGAGATGTACATGAACCGACTTATTTCGATCATCTGCCTTCACAGATAGGGAGGATGAGGAGGCATAGGAAGCACCGAAAGAGGAAGGTCAGTCAGCTAACAAAAGTTCAAAAATTGATGGTTGAAATAATTCATATAAAACAAACAGAACACCTCCCTTGACCTAAAATTGAGTGCTACTGCTGGCTGCTAGGCACAACTCTGTAAAGAGCAGGTGTCAGATTTTCTGCTTGGCTGCAGTAACCGCACATAGTTGAAATATCATCAAACGTATAATTTACCTCAAAAATATCCAGTTGATTTGTTATGCTGATGCAAAAATGCGAACCGTTTATCAGGGTTCCAACCAACTACACGATGCAATTGCTTGAGAAGGTCCTCTGAAGTGCCATGCCATTGCCGATGTGAATTACTTAGCTTTTTAGATGTTTTTTCTAAATTACGTTATGAATTTAATTTATATGTGCTATATTTATCACCACAATTTCAGTAAACAACGATTTTTTGAACGACAGCACCGGGTTGACGCCATGCACCCAGCCGAATCCGATTTTTGTAAACACACCAACGCCACTTCAGACGTCCGAATCCGACCTTCGGGCTTTGTGAACGCCGCGATCACGTCCACATTAAGACCGTTTGCAATTTTTCATCGTAATTAACTGTATAATAATATTTCAAATTTACCTATCTTTGTCACATCTCTTACGATTGTTCAGCCGCGTAGTGTCGTTACCTGGACGCGTGTCTTATCTGTTTAGCTTCAGTTAGAATTGGCCTTAAATTGTAATATCCGAGTGAATTTCAACTTTATATTCCGCTTACTTGTCATATTTCTTGCAGATCAGTATCAATCAATACAATCAGAATCCACATATCGATTTGTAGTGCGACATACAGTAGCCTTGTCGTCACGCGTTTTGCTCCACATCATTCCCCATCTCATCTCTTTGACACGCGCGTTTCCTTTTTAATGTGATGATGATGAAAATCGCCGCCCGCCCGCCCGCACGCGTTGTTCGCTGTAGTCCGATCTAATCGATATATCGATTTTTATCTCTACCCACTGGTACCCCAAGTGACTTATATTATTCTTGTTAGTTATTCTTCAGTTCATATTTGTGTACATCATGTTTCTTCAATTTTTTACCTTTTACTTTATTTTCTCGTGATATCCATAACACTTGTTGCTTGAAATTTCATCCGAGTCAAATGTTCTGAGTATCGATTTTGATCCAATCAACAATTGCTTATGAACTGGCGTGAGATTTTTCTGGAAAGTGCTTTTCTCAACTTTCGTTTTTTTAGATGTTAATTGAAATCTTATATTAATGAAGAATGTGCATTTTTCGATGGATGTTTGTCAAAGTCCAGAAGCAATAAAATATTCGGGAATTTCAAGAATTATTCCAATACAGCTGAGATTTACCGCAGTCATTCGGTTCGGAAACAGATAGCAGAGGTACCCGGTGCTTGCGATCAGGTGAGCCATCGTCGAGGAGACCTTGACAGGGATTCGCGTTTGAATGGCTGGAAGAGTCATCAGGATGAAGTTATTGGTAGGTTCTTGGGGAAGTAGCTTGGGGAACTCGGTCGAGAGGTGAGGCTTACACAAGTAATTGTTGGATTTTCGGGGGGTGATTTCATGAGATTTCGCGAAACTGAAGGACTTTTTTGGGAATTCCAAAATACTGAATGTTTTCTGGTAACATTGCTGCTGCCTCTTCCGCTCACCGTTCGACGAATATTTTTGTTGAAAACAGGTAAAGCTTCATGTTAGGGATGGAAAATGGGTTCAGAAGGTAATTGAATTGCTACCGTCCTACAAAGGAAGGCTCCCAGGTCGCCATGGCCATTCAAGAAGTGATGTATACGACTAGATGTGCCTTCGAACGCTGATCTCAAATCTACCTTCCAAATCTGCTAAACGATTCTCTGAACGGAGTTATGAAGCAAAACAGCGCAACGGTAGTGGTCGGGATTCACAGTCAAAACGTCGTAGGATCGGTCCCTTATCGTTACTGTTTTGCATTCTTCAGGAATTCAGTTAATAGGCTATTAAAAGCCGTTTAGCTGTATTCCTGAAGAATGGAAAACAGTAAACACGATAAGGGACCGATCCTACGACGTTTTGACTGTGAGTCCCGACCACTACCGTTGCGCTGTTTTGCTTCATAACTCCGTTCAGAAAATGTTTAGCAGATTTGGAAGGTAGATTTGAGATCAGCGTTCGAAGGCACATCTAGGCGTATACATCTCTTCTTGAATGGCCATGGCGACCTGGGAGCCTTTCCTTGTTAGCCACTGCAGTCTTTAGAGGGGCGACGGACTTTTGGCTCGTCCGGGTTGGCACGCGGCAAATTGCGCGGCGAGCGGCGCGGCGATCCCGACGCATCGCGGGAATTCAACACGTCAACGTGTGAAGATTGCGGATAAAATCCGCAAGGTTCTGCAATTCGAAATGCATCTGAACGGCTGGAATTTTGAGGACAGCGGTGGTTGTAGCAATAGGAAGAGAGGAACTAGCATAGTGCTGTTATGGCAATCAGGGCGGTCATGTTGTTGGGGGGGGGGACGTTCCATTTGGGGGATGTGAGTGAGACAATTACTGTGTTTGGGACCGAGACTTAGGGAGGAGAAGGGATTCTGGGGGATAGAGCTACCCTAGGACCAAGCCCAGCAGAAGGGTTCCCTGGCGTTCTTCCCCTCTGCTGGGCTTAGTCCTAGTGTCACCTACCATCGACCCTGTTTTGTTGTTTTGTTTTGAATGTTTCTCCTCTGGACGTGAGCGCCTCGATCAGCAAAACATATATAGTTGACATTAAACCTCAACAAGAACTCCCAATTTTAGTGACTCTTATTTGCTTTGATGGTAGTAGTTACATTTACATGAGGGTCCTCACTCATCTCTTGCGCTGAAATCTCCTCACCGATACTGCTGCCTCCAATCCCCGTGAGCGGAAAGATTTTCAAACAGCAGAACCATGCGGAGTTTATTCGCAATCTGCACACGCATTAACGTGTTGAATTCTACCCGAAGAACCCGCGAAGCCTTGTCCCGTCCAGATCGCCGCGCGTGCCGCCGCGCAACTCGCCGCGTGCCAGTCCGGACGAGCCAAAAGTCCCGCACCCTCTTCAGAGGAAAGAACGGAGATGAAGGGGTGGGGGTGGGAGAAGGGTCGCTTCTGATAAATTTCCTCGGCACCCAGCTCGTGGAAGAGATTGAGTGCGCAACGCACCATTTGTCGCGCATGGAGATTCGATTGCAGTACCTGCATAACATCTACTATCAAAAAATTGAACGGTTCCGTACCTACATATATCATGCCAACGTCGTTGCACAATATCGCGATTAGGGCTATCTTTATGGGCTTGCAATCATCGACCCCTATTGCAACGCTTCCTCCCCTTCTCAACGAGGTCGTGTTAACATGCGCATTTCAGCTTTCCACTCATATAATTCGTGTCGTCCGACCCTCCCCTTCCTCCTCCCCGAACTGGCTATAATTCCCTGAAACGGGCAATCATTTTGCACCTGTTTCATCACTATTTAGTTGGGAGGAGCAGACAACTAGCATGCCTTTTCGCCTGAAGCTCCTCTCTCCAGTAGTTGGCCCTCCTCGTGATACGGTAAAATGCAAGAAAGATATCGGGCTGACCAATGAGAAACGTGCCAGTACTTCTGGTAACGCTCCTCAGTATAATGGGATCCCATGAGTTCTCGAAAGTTCTTTTTACTCTCCTTCTCCGAGGGTCGATCCAACTTTTACACATTTGGAAGCATAAAATTATTTAAAACAGTAAAATATAAGAAAACAAAATTTAATGCTCAATTATCAGGTATGAAAAACTTCTGAAGTCGTCAAAATCGAAACAAACAGAAGCTACAGAATCATTTTGAAAGCTGCGGTCGACCAGTTGTATTGAGACGTCGCATTTGGTTTCGTTTTCCTTCATAGAAAAGTCCGCACGTCGTTAAAGTGTCATCGAAAGGAAAGTCTCCACAACACTGTAGAAAAAATATTATTGATTGAAAACTCAGAATTCAGAAGATTAGAGGGATGGCTTGAAGAAACCCTTACGGGAGTAAACTCACTGTTTTTATCCTCCTCAAAACGAAGTCACTGTGACAGTTGTATTATCCTTCTATTATTATAAAGCGCTAACTTTGTGTGTCGGTTTGTGTATCTGTATGTGTGTGTGTGAGTGTGTGTGTGTATGTATGTGTGTCCGTCCGCAAAATGAAGTGAGTGAGAAGGAAGCTCATGGGATAAACAAACCGCTAACAAATCCGGATAAAATACGTATAGCATACATTATACGAAGTTACGAACAAACCGCTAACAAATCGGGTAGCTTACAGGATTTGAGATATCATGTTTTGTAGATAGTTGTGATAACACTCTCAGGGCTATATAAACACCTGCTTAGCACACTTCCGTTCATTCCACATGGTGCTGCAGTGGCAGCTGGAGGGCAGTGGAGAGAGGAAGGGAGGATGAGGAAGGGAAGCGAAAAATCTACCGTCATATCATGATTGTGTCCTTCTACTGTTTGAAACACCATTGTGTTGCATACGCGTCACTTCCACGAGGTGTTGGTGTCACAGGAGGAAGGGACCATAGCGGAGGATAGAAAGCTTGCGCAGGAAAGGAAGGTCCCGGCGGTTGACGGGGGACTAATCTGGTATAAATATAAAAGAGTTGACTAGGGAAGAAATGACTGAAGGCTTCCAAAAACATATTGTTTTTTTTGAAAAAAATTATCTAGTAAAATTTAAGATTTTCGAAGAACCGAGGTGCGTATGCTGGATTATGAAGAAAACCCTCGCCCCAAGCGCGACTCGAGCTCGCACCACTAATTTACCGGGCAAGTTTGCTGCACGTGACGCTACCGTGGCACAGTTTCGCCCTAACTCAGGTTTTCAAACTATATTTGTTCATAACCTAGCATTCTTCTGAAACACTGGCAACACGACTTGCGGCGTTGAGACAGCAGTTAATAATCAAAGCAAATGAACGAGATTCCATCACTAATGGTGTGTTGGGACAGCCTCATTTAAAAACCGAATCAGAGCTGGAGAAACATAGGCCGTTGTCAGTCTTTGCAATACGAGGGACTTGCAACTAGCGATTCGCAAAGTGTGACATCGGCCACAAACTGAAGCCTTTTGCAGAGTGGCTGTGGAGCAGGGTAAGGGTAACTTATTACAGAGTGCACTTGGATTTTAACCATAAAGGATAAAGGATAAAGCATTTGCCGTTGATCAATCCCTTTTTGGGATGCGGCACGCATTCTACTTCCATTTGTACATTCGTAGTGGCGTTTGAATGCGATGTGGCCTATACAATGACTTGCGGGGGCCAGCCGATGTACAAGTCAGTGTTTTTATCCTCCCAGACAAGTCTGGTACCAATTAACCGACCCCGGAGGGATGGAAGGCTTGGTTGGCCCGGGCGACTCACGACCCAGGATTTGATCCCCGGACCGCTCGCGTGGTAAGCGTGCCACTTGCCACTACACCACTTCCGCCCTTATACCATACTTCCTTCAAAGTGAACGAATCCATACCTCAAGAACCTTCAAACGTTTCTCAGCGAGTGCTTTCTATATGGTACTAGATTTGTGAGAATAAATGAAAGAATTCAAATTAAAGAATTTTAGGTGATTAACGAGGAAAGTTCATTGAGATGCGTGACTTTTTAAACTTGCAAAAGCAAGTAAGTTCCTTCTAATCCATTTATTTGTTTGCTAAATATAGCACAGCGTTGCAAACTAGGAGATTTGCTCTATTCGACAATTATTGAATTTGCTTGATTCGTTCAGAATGTCAGAAATGGCTCCGTTGAGGAAGTTGCAAAAACAACGAGGACAATTTTCGGAATGCGCGAGCTTCCACTCTTTCAAAAGCCATATCTTAACAGAACTTTGAAACTTTCGGGCACCATTTCTGGGATGGAAAGATTTGGTTTGAAAAAGAAAACCGAAAAGTTTTAAAATGAAGCTGCATAAAGAACTGAACGTAAAAATAGTTTTCAATGGAAAAAAGCAATAAAAAATTCGCAAAAAATCTCAAGAAGTGAACTTCCTGACACTTACCAAAGATAGCACAAAACTCCTCCGAAGCGAAAACATCTCCGGCAGATGTACCCAGATTTTGTAATATTGAAGCGATACCGTAAGAAAACGCGGATATCGTCCGTTCACTAAACAGATCGTTGAAGTCAAACTGATCACTAGAGATAGGAATCCATACCTATTATCAGACCAAAGTGACTCCGATGTAAGGACCGCTCGTAATAATGGAAGTACCGAAGCAAACCGCGATGCAAAAGCTTCACCTTCAACTTTGCTGATTTGAGTGAGCAATTCAACGGCAATATAACGTGCTCCTTCCTAAATGTATATGAAGCATGCTACGAATTTGAAGAGATGAAAATCTAATGAAAAAGTATTATATCTGTCACGAAAGAAATTGTAAAAATGACAGCATTTCAGTGGAAATATCGGGAGGCGTCGTGCCAGCGCTTGCCTTTTCACGGCACTAATTTAGGAAGGAATGGAAGCCAACGTTGCTTCCCGTGAGAAAAGCACTCCAGGCAAATGGTCGATGCAGAAACTGAACACAATCTTCCTAACGATTCGAGCATGAGCAGGTCTGGATAGACAGCTCCACTCATTGCTCAGTAATTGTGAGTCAGTGTTGCGACTCTGCTCAGCAAGGAAAGCTATGAATAACAGTTGTAACACCCTTTTTAGTTCGTAAGGTCAAAGGGCCCTACCAACAGACGGTGTTGAACTTGAGTCCCATAGTATTTATAACTTCAAATAATAGAAAAAACAAATATCCCACTAAAATTAGAATCCACCAAATCCCTTAACCTACCCCCTAACCAGAGTAAAAGTTGAGGTCAAAGAACTGTGGAATCTGGGTGACCAGGGCAAACAATAAAATAGGTTCGTTCAAGTTTGAAATTACCTGTTCTTCTCCTTGCAATTCCATCCAATCACAGCATGCTGAAAACACATCGGAGCGAGCTGATTCGCTGACCGAAGACAACAATTTGTTTAGTGCTGCTGAGATGAATCGGCGACATTTGGAGCTCTCCTCGTTGAACAACGATGTTCCCATCTTTGGAAACAATGAAAAGACATGCTCCGTTCAAGACAACCTGAAATTGTCGAGAAATTAGTTGACAAAGAAAAGACTTCTCTCAGGACCTTGAGCAACTATGTAAATTATCCGATAGAGAACGGGGTGAAAGAGTTGAAAAAGGTGTGTAAATGAAATAGCGCAATATGTCCGATGTTCACCAGTTGGAGAATACACATGAAACCACTTGCGCTACTAACCTAATCAAACCCCTTTCCCTTGAAAACTGGGCTTGTAAAATGAGAGAATAGGAAAAGGGGGTAGCATCGAGAGCCTCTTTCTGTGACTCGCGGAAAATGATTCACAAGCAACTTCTTGTAAACTTCTTTCGACAGTGACCATTTCCGCTGAAGCGCTCGATCTGTTTTTGGATTCGGATTCGGCTATTCTAAACTAGTGGATCCTTCCACATAAAGCCACAACCCCAGATGAAGCCGAGGTTCAGGGATAGGAGTAACGCACGAGTATTACAAAAGTGTCGTGTCCGGCCTTAAACTAACCGGCTGGCGCTAAGGCTTTTGAAAAGTGGACTAACTGAATGGCGTGTGATCTGATGGAAGGATAAACCCACACCCCAAGATATGCCACGGCTGGATTGCTGCGTAAATTAAGAAAAGATATCGCCGTGGGTAAATGGCAGGCCATGGAGCGAGGCAAGTTTCAGCCTCGTACAGGAACACCCTCCCATCCATTTTGACGGGGAAAAAGGAGCCACCAGATGTTAAAAAGGCTTCAACGGCTTGCATTGCTTTTAATTCTCAGTCAATTCAGCATCGATTTAATTCGATCGCTGTGACCCCACCATTTGATCTGAGTTTACTGTTTTGAAAACTGCAGACTTTCAAGCTCGCAAAGCCATGTTCAAACGAAAGGAAACCTTAGAAACAAATAGAGACATATCTCTTACCGGTTCAAGCCTGGAAAATAAGCCGTTCAGCATATCCACTGCACTCAGACGCCCATCTTCAAGCTCGTAGTCGAGCTGAGCGATGAACCACTCAATGTGCGTTTGCGGATCATCGGAACTTGGATGATTCCCTATGAAATCGCAAAGCACCTGAATCAAAAATACATCCATTGCAAGTAATTGTACATTAAGCAATATTCGAGTGTGATGGAGACTTTGCCATCAGCTTCTAGAATCTTTACTGACCTCTCTACACTGGGTTCGTATATGTGGAAATGGCGATGTGATCGAAAGCTCTCTGAGTTTTTTTATAACGTCAGGAATCTGAACAAATACTATTAACTTATGTATTCGAACTGAAAATGACTTTTTCCTCTGAAATAAAATGGCAAAACCCACCATTGAGTCAGACAGCACCTGAGCGTGTTGGACCTTCTTGCGCACGAAAGCTTTTATGAGCGCAAAAGCTGTAGCTTGCCGACTTGTGTCCAATATATCTATTTCAACATAACTTAACAGCAAAGAAATATGTTTAGCATTGAGGAATGAAGCATCCGAGGCAATAATGAGTTGAGTGAACAATAATTAGTTGAGTGAACGCCTGGAATTTGAAATTTGGGAGGAAACCAAAAATGTCCATAGAAAAAACATTAATGGCCTCCAAAAAGGGAAACGCATACCTTGCATAGAAGCTGATTTAAATTGAGAACGGATTCTTTGTTAGCTGCACTACCAAGTATCGAATATTCCGACAACAACAAGAATAACCTAGAAATGTAAATAAATCAGAAAAATAAACGTAAGGAAATAAATGAAAAAAGTAAAAAAGAAGCAACTAGAAAGGAATTTGATGAATATTGAAGTTCATTTGAGTCCAAGCAGTGTACGTATGATTTATTATGTGTCATGATGTATCTTGAAAATTAATGCTCTCTTGAAAATAGCCTGCTTTCTAATCAACTACACGCGGTTTTCTTAATGAATGAATGGAGGCTGTTTCAAGTGACTACACAGGGCTTGTTTTGAGTCTGACCCCTGCAGATTTTCGAGGTAACTTTCCTTCGAAAACGTTGTAGCAAACGAAGGAAGTGGTAATGCGATCATGCGGTTTATAGCCGAGAAGAAAACCACAGTGAAAATCGCAGCGCTAACTTATTTATGGCACTTGATCTGCTTGAGCGGAGATGAGGAAGTGGCAAATTCTGAATACCACTTCTATACGTGTCGCTCGATAATGAGGTCTAGATCGATGACTGAGGAAGCTCGCCATAACGCCTAAGACTGCGTTTTGTTTCGAATAGTTCGAAGGCGCCCACCACTACAGATATGATGAGTATTAGGTTAAGCTACGAGCTCTGAGAAATTTGAGGAAACACGATATGACCGGTGCCCAGGATTACGACTTTAGCCACTGAAATCTAGTGTCAAAAGGCGTCCTACACATAACTCGTGATAAACTCAACTCAAGTTTGTGCTTGCGTTGAAATGATTGATTACGAAATTAAATACATTTTGGTGGAATCTCAGGAATGTCGCTTTAGCAATCATATTCCTAGGGTTCCACCAAAATTTAAAAAGTCCATTCAATCGAAGAGTGTAATGATACGAAAGAAACCGTGGAGTTGAATTAAGATAAACAATGTGATAAGATCAAAGTAGATAGGAAATATGAAATAAAGTAATCTTGGCAAGTGGTAGAGACCAACCGCTCAGAAATTGTATTCAAAGATTTTTCAACCGACGGTAATGACATGTGCAACATGCCGATCAAACATCAAAGAGCGTTAGATATTACCTAAACCATAAACGTCACAT